TAAGAGCAAAAAACAAAAAGAAGAGAGACAGGAGGCTTCCCTCGTGGCGCAGGGGTTTAGAATCTGCCTGCCAACGCAGGGGACACGGGTTCCAGCCCTGGTCCGGGAAGATCCCACGTGCCGCGGAGCAACTAAGCCCGTGCGCTGCAACTACTGAGCCTGCGTGCCACAACTACTGAAGCCGGTGTGCCTAGAGCCCGTGCTCCGCACCGCAACAAAGAGTAGCCCCCGCTCGCCGCAACTAGAGAGAAACCACACGCAGCAGTGAAGACCTAACACAGCCAAAAAAAAAAACCCAGTACTTTAAAAAAAAAAAAAAAGGAAGAGAGATAGTACCAGGCTGGACAGGCAAGAATCCTCCAGGCCGGAATCAAGCCCGGAGGGGATCCAGCTGGCTCTAGGGCCGCACCCGTGGCTCTCTCTAGCATGTTAAATTGCTAAACATAAAAGGTAAACATGCACATGAGCGGAAGCAGTCAACCTTAGAACGCTTTGAAAACAGAGAGGTTTCCTGCGCATAACGGGAGCACAGAGGCCCACAGCAGAAGAGGTGCAAGTCGGTGGCAATGTTTCCGGATCATCATGTGAAACAGGCTGCTCTGGCCGAAGTCCTGGGGCAAGGACAGAGGGGCCCAAGGGTTCCATCACACACACACACTGTTTGGCTTCCTACTCTGTAAAGAAGCAGGGGGAGCAAGTTGTAAGAGGCATGAGGACGATGCCTGGTGAAGCCAGAGCGGCCTCCTGGGACCACCAGACCACCTCACTCAGACGTTTGCTAACATCTTTCCTAAGACGACCCATCCTTGCGGGGACAAACTGGTGGTGACATTAGACAACGTTGGTGAGAAGCTTTTCCAGGGTGGCAGAGGAAATGGCCAGTTCATGGTGTGGCTGTGACCTTCAGAATCCTGGGTAAAGGGTAAAGATGGGACATGCACTGGAACCAAGCCCTAAGGGACACGTTGAGCGCGTCCAGATGGATTTCATGGGTTATAATTACGCTCTAGTAATAGTATGTTTACTTTCTGGATGAACTGAAGCAGTCTCTTGTTGAAAAAAATAACAGCACTCATAAGAGCTAAAATATTATTAGATTTTGTGCTCCTTATTTGGGATATTCCACTAATTTACTTAGTAACATACAGACACATTTTACTGGGAGAGTTATTCATGAATTACTCAGAAATATCAGTCTTTATTACCCTTAATTTTTCTTAAGAAACAAAAATGAATTTTTCAGAACTTACTGTAAAGTCACCACTTAGATTTTTTATTTTATAAATTTATTTATTTTATTTATTTATTTTAGGCTGTGTTGGGTCCTCATTGCTGTGCACGGGCTTTCTCTAGTTGTGGCGCGGGGGGGGCTACTGTTTGTTGCGGTGCGCGGGCTTCTCATTGCAGTGGCTTCTCTTGTTGCGGAGCATGGGCTCTAGGCACGCGGGCTTCAGTAGTTGTGGCATGTGGGCTCAGTAGTTGTGGCTCACGGGCTTAGTTACTCCATGGCATGTGGGATCTTCCCGGACCAGGGCTCGAGCCCGTGTCCCCTGCATTGGCAGGCGGATTCTTAATCACTGAGCCACCAGGGAAGCCCTAGAGGTCTTAAACTGAGGTTTTTCAGAGGACCCCCAAAAGCAGACAGTTCACAGAAATTGACTGTTACCCGAGATTCTCAGAACCGGCTGACAGCTACACAGAATAGAGAGCTTGTGCCTAAGACCACTGGAATAAATTCTCCTAGATGTCTGTAACCACTGATTTCCACACGCTCTTTTGCAAACCTTTGCTCTTCATTCTTCGGATCACATTTTCCCACCTTATGCATTTAAGGTTGTACACTTCTGCTTTACCCTATCATGTTTCCCTTACAAATAACTCACCTAGATCTAGGCCTTACTAGTGATAGCCACCATCCTGATTCTTTTTTTTTTTTTTAAATAAATTTATTTATTTACTTTTTGGCTGCATTGGGTCTTTGTTGCTGCACGCAGGCTTTCTCTAGTTGCGGCGAGTGGGGGCTACTCTTTGTTGTGGTGTGCGGGCTTCTCATTGCGGTGGCTTCTCTTGCTGCAGAGCACGGGCTCTAGGCACGTGGGCTTCAATACTTGTGGCACTCGGGCTTCAGTAGTTGTGGCACGCAGGCTCAGTAGTTGTGGCTCGCGGGCTCTAGAGCGCCGGTTCAGTAGCTGTGGTGCACAGGTTTAGTTGCCCCGGCATGTGGGATCTTCCCGGACCAGGGCTCGAACCCATGTCCCCTGCATTGGCAGGTGGATTCCTAACCACTGCGCCACCAGGGAAGCCCCTACCATCCTGATTCTTTAAATCAGTTCTCCCAAGCTATCGCTAGGGAAGCCAACATTTAGAAATGTTATAAAGTATGTTACACGGACGTAATTATGATCGTCTTTGTAGGCGATACATAAAGAAGGAAAATGCCCTCCCATCAGGAGAGACCAGTTCAGCTGCCTTGCAATGTGTCTGACTGTTCGTCACAACACCACCCACAGACAATATACCTACAGCTCCACTGAGGTTGACCCCGGGTCTCACATGGACATCTGATTCATGGGTGCCACCCCAGGACCTCAGCTAACTGCCCTGTGGGTCTCTGAGACTGTAACAAGTGAACGAGTCCCCAGTACCCTCGGTGAACGATGCCTCTTTGCAAAGCATCTAACGGTAGAACACTTTCTGAGGGACATAATAATACCTGGTGAAGCAGACGGTGGAGGCTCTTGGCCCCAACCAGAGGGACTGGACAGCTTTAGTGGTCATCAAAAATGTGTCCCTCACTTAGGGTGATAGAGTGAATAATACAGCCTAGGGCATGGCGTGGGGGGCAGGACAAAGCGCTCTGCCTGCCTAGTGCAGGTAGTTATAGATAATAGTATGACCTTGGATCTCATGGGCAACCAGGGCAGTTTGTGGCCCTGCCGATACTTCATTTGGAACCTGGATTCACAGTACAGGTGAGGTGGAACCGTCTACTTCAAGGCTACATGAGAGAGCAACCTGCATACTGTGGACTTAGGGAGCAGGTGGGACCGGTTTTCCTGGTCAGCCCTGGGAACCCTTAAATCATGCTTCTAGAGGGCCTTCCTTCCAGCACCTTCTAGTAATACCTGCAGTCACACTTGTCTGTCTCATCCTTCCACATCTACTGTCTAGAGTATCAACTGCTTTCGCGTATAGTCCCAGCAAATGGCTCAGAGACAAAAACGGGATAAAACCTCCCCGACTGACTGTGACCTGACGGTCAGACCTCCACCGATGACCCTTCCTGGAGGCTGGTTTGGTGGCAGTGCTGAAGATCTGGACAAGCCCTGGTGGCCTCTCCTGCAGCTCTGACTGAGGAGGGACGACCGAAAAGGGGACTGAGAATTAACAAACAAAGAAAGAAACACGTCCTCATATCCCTAGAGAAAGCCTGTACCTGATAGCTCTGGTCAGCAGTAAATACCAGACCTCACATGACCCTAATGATCAGTGGACACACCTCGGAAAGCCCATCGAAGGGCGTGGGCGTGGAAAGTCAGCCAGCTCTGGGCCAGTCCACTCAGCGATCAGGCTTCTGAGGCTGGTGTGAGCCCAGTCTCCCTCAGCGCCCCGCAAAGACATGCTGCTGAGACTGACATCACCTGCCTTTAACCAGCACAACTCCGCACGAGCTCTTCCCCCAAACTCTAGGCAAAACCAGCGGTTTGCTTTGCTCAACCAGACTGCCGGAGCAGCATAGCAATTCTCGCTCAAGTAAGCAATAAATTCAGCTGCCTGACCTCGGGTTACTAAGTGATGGTATCCATTCTCTGATACTTTCATTCATTCATTCAACAAATCCTTCACTGAGTGTCTATTGTTGCTGGGCCTGTTCTAGGTGCTGGGGACACAGCAGTGAACAAGACAGGCAAGGAATACCTGCTCGGGTGTGCAGAGTGTATGTTCAGCGAGGACAGACTGACAACACCCCGCGGCAGCCAGTGGCTGCGATGGGAGGAGACGAGCATGGGACAGCCAAGACGCGGAGGGCGCGCAGAGGGGGGCCGGCTGCTGCTCCAGGTGTGTGGTCAGGAAGCCCCCCACCCCAAGCAGACCCCTGCAGGGAGTGACGAGTCCTCTAGGATAAGAGAAGAGCCTGAGCGTGGCTATGTTGAGGTCGGGGGGCTGCACCTGTGAGGTCAGGGAGGCTGGCACGGGGTGGGTGGGGGTGAGGGCGGAGGGCAAGCAGGCCGGGCTGTAGCAGCCTTTGGGCCATTCCAGGAACCCAGACTTTGCTTCTGCACGACGAGGACTCCCTGGAGGGCTCTGAGCCGAGAGAGATGAACTCTTAGATCTAGAAGGCTTACTCTTGAGGCCCTGGGGATGCTGGAGCACGGCGGGGCAAGGACCTGAGAGCCGTTCCTGGGACCCAGCACAGGCCTGGCACACAGCAGGTAGTCAGTATGTGTTTATGGAACCAGTGAACGTGGACCGTCCAGCAGTCAGCCAAGAGGTGCCCCAAGGCCCCAGAGCCCAGCAGCAGAGGGCGCATGAGCCCTGAGCGCTCTAGGAGGCCCGCCCCTTGCCAGGCCAGTGGCGGGTGTACAAAGACCCAGGCGCTCCCCAGTCCAGGCTCTGCTGCTGCTGCCCCCCGTGTAACCACCCCTCCCCTCCCACCAGCTTCCTTGGCAGGACAAGGGGAGCTGGGGCTACTGAGGCCTCCGCGCCCTGCTGCTTCTGAGTGTCAGCTCCTCCTGAGTCCACAGCTCTGGCTGCACACGCTGACCCCCAGGTCTCCACCTCCGTGCTCCCCGTGTCCCCGCCCCAAGCCGTTTCTGCGCCTCCAAGCGTGCTCTCCCCGCTGCATCCCCTCTTCTTCTGTCAGCCCTCATTCCCATCAGCCGTATCCCAGCAGCAGAGAGCACCTGCCCAGGAGCCCCAGCCATCCAGGCACCAGCGGAGGTGCTGGCACCCAGGCCCTTCTCAGGGGTGCTCGCGATGGCCCGCCCCAGGGCACTCACCCACGCAGTCCTTCCGGTTCCAGTGGAGACGCCTCCCTGGGGGGCAGACGCATTCGTAGCTGCCCTTGGTGTTGACACAGCCCTGGTCGCAGCTCCCGTTGTTCATGCTGCACTCGTCCACATCTGGAAGCACAGGTAGGCGTAAGGGCAGGAGGGGGGGCTGGACGGTCCAGCCGAGGCCACACCCTTGGGGCTGGCAGGGCAGGACCCACCCAGGACAGGAGGGCCGAGAATCCCCTGACCCTGACGCCAGCCTGATACTGTCACTGGATATAGACATGTGGTTGCACACGACACACACACGAGCTTGCACACACACAGGGTTCCCGCAGACACCAACACACATCCCCCCCTCCAGGAACCGCAGTGGTTTGCTGAACTTGGGCAGCTGAGCCCAGACTTGGGGGAGGGCAGAGAAATGGCACAAAATAAAGTTGCAGTCAGGTCTTGTGGGGCCGGAATGATCAGCAACGGCCCCGGGGTCCTGAGGCCGTATCTCACTGTGGGACTTCGGACGTGCCCTTCCCAGCCAGTTTCCCTCCTGCACAACAGGCACCTGGGCACAGGAAGTCTCCGCTGAGGCCCCGCCTTCTTTTGGGCCAAAGACCTGTGTGCAGAAGCTGGTGCCCAGGTTTTTGGGAGTCCCTGCAGAAGAATCTGCAGCTCACCCCACGAGCCACGCCCCTAGCACCAGCTGTGCCTGAGCCCACCTAAACTTCACAGCTGCCCAGCAGGGGAAGTGTGGCTACCACCAGGTCAAAGGAAAGGGAGAGACACCAGGGACCTCAGGGCCATTCTTGACACCCCCGCCAGCTTCACCCCCAAGCCTGTACATCCCCATGTCCCATCATCCGTGGCACCTAAAGGCATCTAGAGCCTTCCCTCTCTCCACATCCCTCCCCACCCTGCCCAGGCTCCAGTAGCTCTCACTCCCATGCCTGGAGCCGTGTCCCCACTGGTGCCCTGGGTCCCACTCTCCTAAACACGTGGCAGCTGGAGGGATCTCGTTACATGAACTTGAGCCCGTCACATCCCTGCATAAACCCTCCAATGGCTTCTCATCGCACTGGGAATAAAGCCACAAGTCCCCTGGGGCTCACGAAGCCCTGTGTCCCCTCTGTCTGCACCTCCCGCCGTGTGCCCCTTCCCTCATGGGACTCTAGCCCCACTGGCTGCCTCTCGGTCCCTCGGTGCTCCTCTGCCTCAGTGCTCTTGCACACGCTGACCCCTCTGGCACGCTTCCCCCACCATGACCCAAACACTCCTCCTTTAGGAGCCCCCCATTGTCCCCACCCTCTGCCCTTCTCTGTTGTTACCCCCTCCGCTGGAATGAACTGTTTGTGGGATCCTCTGTGCAGCCATCCTCCCTTCCGGACTGGGGTTTCCCAGAAACTGCTGTTTCCAGGCCCGTGTCCACAGCCTGGCTGAGGCCTGGCACCCAGTGGGTGCTTGCTGCCCCTCCCCCCACCCTCCCGCCTTACCCTTGGCTGACCCCTCTGCCCACCAGTCCCTCCCAGGCCCGTCAGAGTCAAGGTCAAGGTCGGGGTGTGGGGTGCAGTGCAGGTGGCCGTGCGGCCGGGCGCGTGCCTCTGGGGGGAGGTGGCCCTGGCGGGCGAGCTGCAGACCTCCGCAGTGGGTTGTCCCATAGAGTGTGTAGCCGCGGCGGCACAGGCACTGGAAGCTGCCCGGGGAGTTGATGCAGATGTGGTCACAGGTCCGCTCGAAGGAGCACTCGTCGACGTCTGTGTGGCCACAGGGAGACAAAATGTGGGAGGAGGTTCAGGGTGTGGTGGATGGCACGGCCTGCCCCTCGCTCAGTCACTCAACAGACCTCTGTGCCCGACAGTCCTGGGGCCCCAGGCTCAGCGCACAGCCGACGCACAGCAAACGTCAGACTTCGTGTCGCTGCCCAATTTTCCATTCTGTCTCCATTAGCCTCATGTGTCTGGGTGAGAAGCTGCCTCACATCTTTTCTGGAGGTGGGCAGGGTAGAAATATTTTGAGTAGAAGGGATTATTACGAATCCCTGCCATTTTGATATCTCCCATTCCAGTGGGATTAGGGTAGGTATTTAATCCACACCTGCAGGAAACCAACGGGCTTGCCTGGGGAAGGGGCTGAACTGGGACATGAAAACAGACCACTTGACTGCCGACCAAAGTGTGTTCCCCCATCACCCCAAGATGTCTCTGGAGAAAATGGGGAAAACAGCACAGACAGAAAGGGGGATGGGGGTAGGGATGATGCCACCCATGAGGAATAACAAAGTAGCCTTGATAGTATGTGACACTTGATTCTGACCACCCTGGCAGCCAGGGTAAAAAGGGAACGAGGGCGGGCCACAGACTGCTTGCTGCTGGAAAGGAGGAAATGAACTACGTGTTTGCAGGAGACCAATCTATCCTGGCCGTAAGTTCTGAGCAGGGTGGCCCCCATGGGACAGCTGATGGGGGTCCCGAGGGCAAGGCAGACACTGACCTGCCTCTCCTTGGGCACTGCAGCTGGAATCTGTTCTTTGAATACATTTGCTCACGTGCCTACAGACGCACTCATAGCATATGTGTTTATAATAACACGAGCACGAGGAAGGAATCACTGCGAATGCTCAAAGGAAGATGTGATTCCTCCCGGGGGTGGATCTGGGAAGAGCTCCTGGGGCTGTGGCTCCTGGGCTAGACCCTGAAGGATGGGGCTAGCCCGGAATGCAGGAGTGAGAGTGGGGGAAGGGCACTCCGGGCAAAGGCTGGGAGGTGACAGCACTGGATCCTCAGGGATTGTGTGGAGCTCAGGGGGGCTGGGGAGGTGTCTGGGGTCCCCATCCCAAGGGCCCTGCGTGCCTGCTGGAGCTGGGGACCCAGGGGCTGTGCTGGAGCAGGGGTGGGCCGGAGCCCCAGGGCCTTGCAGAGCTGAGTCAGGAAGAGGGGGGAGGAGACTCAGCCAGAGCCCGGAGCAGTCCAGCCATTGCCCGCCCCTCTCCCAGGGCAGCTGGGGATGCAAAGCCAACGGCCCTCCCTCAGCCGTCCACAGAATGCGGCAAGGCAGATGGAGAGACAAAGCCAAAGTGCAGAGGAGCCTTGATCGGAGCCCGGACGGGTGCTGTGCTCCCAGCAGGCCCCTGTGCCCCGAGAGGAAGACAGGGCCAGGTCGCCCGAGCAGCGAGGCGGAGGCCGAGCCCAGGGAGGGGAAGCGACTGGCTCAGGTCACGTGCTGAGCCCCAGGACAGGCTGGCCCTGGACCCTCCCTTACCAGCCTCTGCTCTCGCCTTCCTCGGGGCCCTCAGGGCCTCGTGCTGCCCCAGGCCGGCCTCTGAGCACCGCTACGAGGCAGATGCTGCAACCGCAAGCCAGATGCGGCCCGGTGCAGCCTGTGCCTCCTGGGACCTCGTGGAGATGAAACGACGGGACGGCAACAGGGTAACAGCGATGGAACTGAGCCGGCCCCACCCTCTGCGCGTATCCCCGAAGCCGGCTCCTTCTCAATGGCCTCATCTAGCTCCACGGGGCTCCTTCTGGTTCCTCACACCCCCTCAGCCCAACAGTGCCACTTCCTGGTCGGGTTTGCCTCCCTGGCTCCTCCTGGAAGATGCCTATTCATCCTTCAAGCACTTCCCCAGTGTCCCCTCCCACAAAGCCTTCCCTGACCCGTCTCTCCACTGCCCATCCTCTGGGCTCTCACTGCATCCAGGATGCCTGCGGGACTTGTCCCGGGCTGTGATGCTTGGCTTCTGCCCAGGTCTCTCTTCCCATTACCCCTGCTCCTTGCAGGTGCCCAGGGACCCTGAGGAAGGGCTGCTGGAGCACGCCTGCCACGTGCTACAGCTTCCACCAGGTGGCAGCATCCACCTGGCCTCTGAAGCCACTGACGGTGGCCTGGGAGGCCCCCCCTGGAGGGAGGAGCCGGCGCCACCTGGGACACGGGCCGACCCCTCCCTGGGCCTCAGGTCCCCTCTATATCAGGGAGAGGTGGGGCTGGATGGCTTCTCAGGGCCCCTAGAATCATAAAGGACGGGAAGACAGGAGGGCAAGCGCACAGGCTAGGGACACAAAAACTACCCCCGGCCCCTCAGGCCCGGCCCGGCCGGCGGACACGCCCACCCCAGGCTCGCCTACCCTCCTGGGAGCCTGTGTGGCCTGAGAGGGGCGGGACCCCACGAGGACCAGGGCGGCTCACCTTGGCACGTCCGCTCGTCCGTCAGCAGCTTGTACCCCTTCCGGCAGCCGCACTCGAAGCTGCCCACGGTGTTGCGGCAGAAGTGGTCGCAGCCTCCGTTGTTGACCAGGCACTCGTTGATGTCTGCGGAGCCGGGCGGCAGGACGAGGCGAAGAGAGTGGGCTGGGCTGCGCTGCCCGGGCCGCCTCGGGTCCCCCGGCTGAGCCCAGGAAGGGGGGCTGGCTCACAGCCGTGGGGGTGGGAGGACGGGAGACACCGCTGCCCCCAGGACTTGGCGAGCCTGGCGTTTGTGCACCGAAGGGAGGGAACTGGTGTCTGCGGTGCCGGGCCAAACAACAGGGACCGGGACGCTCCCACGCCCTTTCATCCCCGGGGAGGTGCCAGGGAGGCGGGGAGGCCGGGAGCAGGGGGCTGCTTCCCGGAGGCTGTGACTCTGGGCTGGGCGAGCTACTGGACCCCTGGGGCCTCGGCTCCCTGTCTGTTAAAATAAGGATCAGAGGCGCCCCTACGTGGAAGGACGTCACGAGGATGAAATGAAATAACATCCCTAAGGCGCCGGTGCTCAGCCAGGGCCCAAACAACTCTTTACAAAGTAGGTTTATTGCTCCTGCTTTACTGACGGGGAGACCGAGGCCGGGAGGGTAACTGGCGGCTGGTGGCGGGAACCGGCGCTCCTGGGCCGCCTCCCTTCCCAGCCTGGTTCCTGCCGCTCCCCCTTCCCCATGCCTGCAGGTGAGTTTGAGCTGTTTCTTCACTGGGCATGTCACGAGTTGCGGCTGCACCCTGAAGGCCTCCCAGCACCCCTGCCGGTGGGCCTCGGCTTGCACACCTCTAGTGATGGGAGCTCCTTCCCTCACGAGCTCCCCCCACCCCCAGGAGCTCCCTCCCACCCTCCTTGCCCTGCTCCCCTGGGCTTGTTCCCTGGGCTCCCGGTCCATCTGGCAGACTGAGCTGTCAGAGACCCTGTCCCTGAGGTACCTTTTCTCACTCCGAAGTTCCTCTTGGGCTCCGGCTCCCGGGCCCCCCACGCTGGTCACCCCCCGCCGGCCCCCCAGACCTAGCCCAGCAATTGGAAACAGAAGTAGGAGATGACGTCCAGGAAGGTGTCCCCACCCTGATTGGAGGAGGGCACAAAAGGAAGCGGTGAAAGAGGCATCCCCCCGCCCCCGGCAGAGAGAGGACTTTCTGTGCTGGTCACTGGCCACATCTTAACAGAGCTGCTGACTCAGACTCCAGCACCCGCTGAGCCTGGCCTGAGTGTGAGGCCCGGACACCCCTGTCCCGTGTAACTGGCACGGCCAGTTGTCAAGGTCAATCTGTCCCCATTTCTCCGAGCCCCGCGGAGGAGACTTGGTCCTATTCCAAAGACTCCGGTCTCAGGTACAGCCTCTCACCACGCTGCTCCCAGCTCTTTTCCTCAGATCGAACAGGCTGGACTTGACACCTGCTGAGAAGTCCTACAGCAGCACCCCCACAGAATGCTCTTCACCCCAGAAAAAACCCCCAAACGTCAGAAGAACGGCGGGGGCGTTAAAGAGAGCAGGGCTGAGACCCCCGGGTGGGCAACTCTCGGAGCCTTTGCGAGGGGAACGGGTACAGCGAGTCGGGCAGGGGCAGACCCAGAGCTGCTTTCCTGTGGAGGCCCGGGTGGGGCTGGGCTCTGGGGAACACAGGACACTCAGGGGGTGTGCCCGCCACCTCCTTGCCCTCGGCCAGCCTCCCCGAGGTCCCTCTGCCCCAAGGACCCATTCTGTTTGCGTATGCTGACGATTTTGGTGCCAGGAAGATGGGAAGGGCGGAGAATCCGAGGTGGCCCCACTAAGGGAGGCCGCTAGGGCGTGTGTGACCCTGGCTCCGCCTCTCACGGGCTGGGCCTTCACCTCTCTGCACACAGGAGGTGGTCTACGTGTGCACCAAAATGACGGCTAAAAACAGAGACCGCTCGGCACTGCGAACTCTGCACGCGCTCCGAAGCCTGTGTTTCAGGAACAAAGCGGCCTCAGGATGAGCCCACGCCCCAGAGGAAGTAGGAGGACCCTCTGGGGGTCACGGCACCTGCTGGGCGGGCATCACCTCGTGCTGGCGACCAGGCCAAGCACTTTCTGGCAAGGTCTCGTGTGACGGTCAAAACAACCCGAGGCCAGATCTCCCACTTTCCGGGGGAGGTCACAGCTCCACGCAGGAGGCCGACTTGAGCCCAGCCCCAGGTGTCTCCAGAGACGGCCCCGCCCGTGCAGCACGCTGGCCCTGCGGCCTTCAGAGGAAACAGACCTCGAGTGCAGCGAGGGCCTGTCCAGACAGAGGCTGGGGCTCTCCGTCGCCCCCTCCCCCGGGGGTTACAGGAAGACAGGGGAGATTCTGGCTAAAAGCCTCTGACAGAAGAACGGAGGGCCCGCTCGGCTCCGTGACCCTGGGCAGGGCAAGGCCCCTCTCTGAGCCGCAGGCTCCCCATCTGCAAACTGGGCTGCTAGCAGGCACCTGTCCAGCATCATTCACTACGACTGGATGTGCAGATGGGGCTCGCCTCCTCGGGAATGCCTCAGGCCTCTGGAACCCCCAATCCCATCCCCTACCCCATCTGGGCCTGTCGGCTCAGGGGCTGTCACGGCAGCTAGACAGGAGGTGCGAGGCGCTGTTCGCTTGAGGCCCAAGCTGGTGTAGCGGGCTGCCTGGGGGTCAGAGTCGGGGAGGCGCCGTCCCAGGCTCTAGCCTCAGCTGTAGTGAGGGGGCAGTGGGCTCGCACGGCCCCTCGGCCTTCATTCTGATGAGCCTCTGACCCCTTTCCACCTCCCACCCTTCCAAGACCCCCCTCCTTCTCTACTGTGCTCCCACCGGGCCCCACCAGCGGCCAGCAGTCCCCTACCTGGTTACAGAGGCTCACGGTCTCCCCTCCACACCCTGGCCCAGCCCGGCGGCCCTGCCCTCCTCTTCTCTGCACGCTTGGATCCTGTCTCGGCAGCCCTCACCCCACCCTGCCTGGGGAACAAGCACCCCCTGGAAAGCCTTCCCTGACGTTCTCTCCAGAGTTAGCTGCTCCCTTGTCATGGGACCTGCCTTCAGCGGGATGACAGACGGGGCACCTGGCTCCCACCTGGAGCCCCAGGGCCCAGCATGAGGCCTGCACAGAAGGATGGGGCACTGAACGAATGGATGAACGAATGAGTGAATAAGCGAGTCGGGGGGCTGAGAGGTTAGTGGAACATTCGATGCGTCACCCAATGTTTGAACATCAATGCGTGTTGGGGGGAAAGGTGTGGGGTGAGCTATGGGGACACGCAGTAGGTTGGTTGCTCCTGTCCCCCTCTGCCCACCCCACTGAGGGGGCACAGCCTGGCAACGCAGAGGCCACGTGGATGAGGGTTTTGGGCCTGTGGGAGTGGGCTGGCATCACTCTGGAGCAGCCTAGGGGGAGGGCAGGCTGCTGGGCTGGGCTGGACGGGCACAGGGCAGGTGAGGGAAGAGGGCCAACAGGCGGGGCTGGGGGCAGTCCTCCCAGACTGGTGCTGGGAGGAGGGGCTGGTGTCCCTGAGGAAATCCAGGCTCTGGCTCAGGAAGTTGAGGCCCCAGACCTCCTTCCTCTCAGAAGGGCCAATTAGCAAGGTGCCCGCTTCCCAGTATCGAGCAGGACAGCGCCAACCAGGGAGCCCTGCGACTGGGCTGTCCACACTCTTGAGACAAAGGGGCAAGTCCTGCAGAGCCCCCCATGGCCCTGATGTTTTGGGGCAGGCCTCCACCTGCCCACGTGATCCCCGGCCGTCCTGGGTTTTCAGCTCTGGATTTTCCCAGACCTCCAGCCACTGGTCTTGCTTAGCAATGACCTTCTGGCTTCCAGAAAACACTGAACCTTCGATATCCTCCTCTGGGCCCTGCCAAGACCAGGGTGTGCATGCTGACCGAGAAGCCAGCACCCCAGGGCCAGGGCCTCGGTTTGTCGGGGATCCCCAGCTGGCTTGCCCCCTGCCCCGAGCCCCCGCACCCTGCCCTGCGCCCCTCCAGCCAGGCCCCGGGAAACTCAGACTGTAAGCCCAAGGCTCTAAGACTCCAAACCCGGGGGTCTCGAGGTCAACATTTGGTTTCCAGGGTTCCCTGATTTGGAGACGCTGTGATGTTCCTACTATATAGTTCTGGACCAGTCCCACGATCCTCAAATTCTACGTATAACAACATTCGGACAGCTCTTCTCCACCTCTGCTGCCACCCTGGGCCCAAACCATTGTCACCTCGAGCCTGTTCTTCCCAACCCTGCCTAGAAACCCGTCCCAACAGTGGCAGGGACTGTCTCCAAACGAAAATCTGGCCTGTGCCTCCTTGCCCAAGAGTGTCTGGCGCCTGGCCGAGGCTCACAGGATGAAGGGCCAACCCCTTCTCCTGGACCTCCCCTGAATCTTCCCCAGATCTGGGCACCCTGGCTGCGTTGGGTCCTGGAACCCCAGGCCTCTGCACAGCAGTCATGTTGCCTGGATTAGAGCCTCTTCCTCCATCCTCCCCGCTCTCCTACCCCCTGCCCAGACTTTAATTTTTAAAGTCTGTCTTCTTTACTCAATAGAAGATCTCTGGGCACAAGGAATTTCTGTTTCATTCCCTGGTCTCCCCTGCACTTGCACACAGGAGGAGCCCAGAAAACCCATCCGGTGCATGCGTGAACGAAAGGACTTCCTGACTCCAGGGCAGTGGGAGTGAGGAGGGTCGGCTAAAGGCAAATGAGCAGCTCTGGGTAAAGGGTCCAGTTGTTTCAACACAGGAAACATGGTCGGAGGCTCAGACTGGCGGGCCTGGGGCCGTGTGGACAGCTCCCTTCAACATCTCCCCCTACCCCAGACTCAAGGTGGGGTGAGGATGGATGCCCCTCTCGCCAGCAAGGATGGGCAGGGGGCAGCAGTCAGCGTCCCCTTAGGTGCTCCTTGTGGGCCATGTGACTGCTGAGGCCCCTTTCCAGCCCAGACAGGTCAGCTCCCAGCGGCGAGCTCCTGGCCTCGAGTCTGGAATTAAGCCCTGCCCTACCCCTCCGGTCCTGCGTCAGCGCTGTGCCTTGGACGGGGTGTGGGTGGCCCGATTCTACCTTCTTCTGTCCTGGCTCCAAGGGCAACTGGCTGGACCTGCTGTGACATTGCTGGGCTATGAGGACGGCTGGGTCTGCGGTGGACCCTGGCCAGCCCTCCTGGCATTAAGCCCACGTGGCAAGGCCTCAGAGAGCCCCCGCCCACCCGGAACACCCCTCGCTCTAAGTGGGCTGAGCGGAGGCTACAGAAGGACTTTATTTTCAAATAAACAGGTGGAAGAACGGTTATTTCTGTCAATAATCACTAGGTTCTTCCCAGCAGAGCGGCTGGGGAGGAGAAGTCACATGCTCTCTATTTTTACAGGCTTCAGAAGCCCATCTCAGACTATTCAAAATCACCTGAGCCTCCGCTGTCAACCTTCTCACCCACTGGGCTTTGGAAGTTCTGCCTCCTTTGCCCTTCCATGCTGGCCTCTGGGCCTGCCCGCTTCCCGGCAGAGTGATGGGAGGAGGGCAGCCAGCCTGGGCAGGGATCTGAGCGCTGGTCTGGGAGTGCTGAGGGGCTGCACCTCACTCCTCGCAAGGGCTGCCTCCCGGCCCAAGGCCCGCAGGTCTTTGCCTGGGCTGGTGCCTGTTGTAGGGCTGGTGCCCCCGTGCTGTAGGGCTGGCCCCTTCAGTCCTAGGGCTCAGACAGCTCTGGCTTCCCAGCCTCTCTGCTTCCTGTTTCCTGAGGGGTCCCCAACACGGCTGAGCCCCCGTGGGCCCTCAGGAACCTCGGAGTGAGCTGGGGACAGTGGGCAGAGAAAGCTCACCCTTCTCTGGCTTCCAGCAGCTGGCAGACCGGCCCATTCCTGACCTTCCCAATCCCTATTTCTAATTTTGCATCTTTAGTCCTCCGGTTGAGATCCCCCTGCACACCTTCCCTCTTCCAGTGACGAGGACACACAGTGTCCTCAGTTTGCTAACGCCGACAAGAAGACCATCCTGGCCTGGTCTGAGCCCTGTGCCCTGCTGCCCCCAGCTCTGCAGAACGCACCCCGGCCAAGGTGAGTGAGCACAGGAACCAGCCTGGCCCTGCCCCCTGGGAGGCCACAAGGAACCTCTGCCGGCCTAGGAAGCCCAAAGAACAGGTACCCCGTTTGTTCAACCCAGGGTGAAGCCACATTCTTCGATATCAGAGCCCCGCTTGAACCTGTCAATATACAGTGGAACTGGGGCTCCCTTGAGCCTTGCTGGGGAGCGCTGGTGCTGACTCTCCCTCTTCTTAGCTTCTCCAACAGAAATGCACGTGGCAGCTGACCACCCTCGCCCCTGAAGCCATGTGTGGTCGCACACCCAGCCCAAGTGTGCCGCCCTGCTCCTGCCCTGCCTGCACCACCCGGGGCCCGGCGAGGGAGGTGGTGCGCACTGACCTTTGCACGTCTTCCCATCCGGCTGCAGTGTGAATCCAACCGGGCAGCTGCATCGCACGCCGGTGGCCGTGTCCTTGCACGTCCGGTCACAGCCTCCGTTATTTACTGCACACGTCTCTGAGGAGGGAAAGAGAAAAAGACACTCTCAGTCTCCTTGGACAGAAGCCACCACCTTTCCCCACCTGTGGGGGGAATCTCCTGAGACAGGAGACCTGAGTTCAAATTCTGGCTCTGGGGACTTCCCTGGCGGTCCAGTGGTTAAGACTCCGTGCTTCCAATGCAAGGGATGCGGATTCGATCCCTGGCTGGTGAACTAAGATCCCACGTACCGCGTGGTGTGGCCAAAAATAAATAAATAAATGGATGTTTCCAACGCAAATTCTGACTCTGATACACTCTAGCTGTGGGGCCTCTCTGAACCGCAGGCTCCCCATCTGTAAAATGGGAGAATGACACTGTTTCCCCTCTGATGATGATGGATGGGAAAACTGTTTGCAAACCACAGGGAGCGGTGCCAACAGGGTCAACACCACCACCAGGGCCAGTGCTGAGGTCGGCTGGGCTGGTATTTAACCACCCAGGGACAGATTCCTAAACCCTTGCCTTGCCTGGACTTGGACTCCAAACCCAGACTGGCAGTTACTGGGGCTCCCAAACTCGTCTCAGCGCAGAATGGCTTGTGGCCCTGGCCGTGGAGTTGCAAGGGGAGGTTCCCAGAGCCCGCGCACCATCCATCACCTTGATGAGGCTCTCAGCCCAACATCTGTTCTCGCTGAACGATAAGCCAAAGGCGTCTGTTTTTTGTCCACTTGAAGCTAGTCTAGTGCTTTTTTTTTTTTTCCTCTTGCAAATTCAAAGGGCTGGAGTGGCTGGGACATAACTAAGGTCACTGAGCTCGTCGTGCGGTGAGAATGATCCTCCCCAGGCCCGGAGAAGGGGCTGGCACACCTGGGTCACCAGGGCACGTGGAGGAGCCTAGTTCCCGGGCCTCTGAGCCTTTCAACCTGGGTTTCTTCCTGAGCATCTGGCGTGCTTTGGTGTTGTGGGAACTTCCCTCTCCCCTTTGCTGCTAGGAAGGGAAGCGCCAAGGGCCCCCACCTCTTATAACCTGAAATCCCCTGCCTGTCTACCGTGGCTGCCCCTGGCTGCCTGGCCCCAGCGGGTCTCTCCCCAGAACTTTCCCCCTACCCCATTTATTCTGTCTGTCCTTCTGTGGTGTCTGCATTCCTGCAAGGTGCATTCCGTTTTCTCCGGGAGGAGTTTGTGGATGAACGCAGGAGTGATGACTAAATGAATACATACCCCCAGTTGCCAGGAGTCTCTGCTGCTAATGTCTTTCCTTTGAACTTCAACTTGTAGGGGGTGGACGGAGCAGGGAGAGGAGGAAACTGGGCTTTCCCTCTGTGTGTGTGTGTGTGTGTGTGTGTGTGTGTGTGTGTGTGTGTGTGATTCTGTGGGGTGACCACGATGGCTGTTGTCCTTAACACCCTGAACTCGGGGGCTGCCTGCTGCCCGGGGCCGCTGCCCGTTTTCTCGAGGTTGAAGCCTTCACCGCGGTAGGACAAGCTGTAACCGCTACCGCAAGGCCAGTCTCCTCGCCCCTGCCTCTTCCCAGGCTTTCAGCGTGTCTCCCCATACTCTAGCCCTCCAGCTTCTGTCTGCCTGCTGTGGGGCACGTTGCCCAGTGGCTGGGAGGCCTCCTGCCTGCTCATGGGTCAAGGTCAGCGCAGAGACCTCCACGAGCAGCCTCCAGACGCAGAAAGGAGGCCTCCGCCCTCCGTGTGCGCATGCGGGCTGGCCTCCACATGCGCGTGGGCCAAGCTCTGACCCGCACACGCCTGCGCAGGCCCTCTTGTCTCCCCCGCCGCCCGTCTACTGGGGCAGTGGAGGTGGGGAGGCCAGGGTGTGACTCTGGCTCTGTCGCTCACTGAGTGACCCAGCGAGTCCGCCCCTCGGGGCTTGACCTCAGCACCTACACCTGGCAGGTGAGGACGGCAAGTCTTCCCTCCCAGGGCTGAGGGGAGGATCAAAGACACCCCACACTCAACAGCGTCTGGCCCAGGGCCCAGCCTGGAGTAGCTGCTCAACAATGTTAGCTTCCTACCCTGAGGTTACAACCAGAGAGGGAAATCCCGCCTCCGGCCCTCAACTCCAGAGCCAAGGTACCCCCATGTGCCTTTCCAGCCTTTTACGTGGGAGAGCCCCTCTCTGGAGAGGGGGCAGAGAACCTGCCTGTTTTCCAGGTGCAGGTAGTTAAGGCTCAGGCCTTGGAGAGGCAGGGGGAAGGCCCGAGAGCAGGGGGCGGGCAGGAGAAGGTGCCGAGAGCTTGGGCTGGGGCACAGCTGGGTGGCCTTACTTGGCGACAGCGGGATGACCACTGGGTCTCTCCATGGTGGTGGAGGTGGGACGTGGTGTGGGCACCGGGGACTGTGTCCCTGAAAAAGGGACCCGGCCAACCAGGCTCCAGGGGGCTTGCAGGCCCTTCCTGTCTCTGGAGGCCCTGATGGGACTCGGAATCTTGGGCCTCTTGAGCGACCGGGGCCCTGGAGACCTGCTGGCCGCACCTGCCCTCTGGGTAGGAGAAGGAGGCCGAGCTGGGGCCGGGGTCAAGCCTGGATGGTCACTCGCTCTCTGCGCCCTCAGGGCAGGTCTCTCCCCTGTAGCGAGCACCCTTTCAGTCTCCTGTGTTACCCTAGACAATGTTTGGTACAAGAGCTCTTTGGGCTCCCCTGGGTGCTGGCCAGCCCATCCCACAGGCATCGCTGCACTAGGCTCCCCCACGCTACAGCAGCTCTGTGGACGGCCCCTCGCCTCCCAGGTGCAGAACTGGTGCCGAACACTGGGAATCGGCGCAGAGCAGCTGGGCTGGTAAGGGGCAGGGCTGGTGGGACCCGGTGGGTGCACTCTAACCCACCAGCAGGCTCAGATCTCCATCCAAGCCAGCCCCAGCCAGCCCCAGCTGGGGCCCGCACGGCCAAGCGCGTACCTGGCTCTCTAGCTCCTGCCCAGTGCGCCCCGTCTGCACGAATGCTACTCCATCTGCCCCAAGGATGCGCCTTCCCCCACCATGGGCCCTTTGCAGGTGGAGAAACCGAGGCTCAGAGGAGTAAAGGACCTTTTCTAGGCAGGATTAGCTGCACGATTTGTGGGACCCAGTGTGAAATAAAAGGAAAGGGCTCTTGTTCAAAAATTGTTAAGAATTTCCCAACAGACAGCCGAGCACTCAGCCAACTGTGGGCCCTTCTAAGGGCAGGGCCCCGGGTGAGCGCACAGGTCACACAGCCGCTGGGAGAAGCCAGTACTGGAACCCAAGACTGTGAGACTCCAAGCTGCTGAGTGAGCCAGGCCTCCGGGGGGGATCCTCGGGGGCGGCCTGCAGTGGGGCAGCAGAGCCAGTGGCCTGAGGGGGCAGCGAGGTGCGCCCACGGGCCTCCTCACCCAGCGAGAGGGGAGAACTCTCACCCACAAGGCTGGGCTGGCGAAGGGGGACTGAAGTGGGGAGGGGCTTGGGAGTGAGCCCCTTTTCAGCAGATGGGAAAACCCCAGATGTGTTAAAAGGCCAATCTTTAGTGTTTCCCTGGTGGAATTCTGCTTTGGGCCACGCCGGGCGGGGCGGGGGCGGGGAGGGGAGCGGTGGCACGGGCAGCCACTCAGCAGGACGTGCCGTGCAGCCCGGCCGGGGCTCGGACGGCAGCAGGACGCCCCTTGAGTTGGCGCTGGGTGCTTGCACCACCCTAGGTCTGGGGCGAGGTCCGGCCTGAAGAACGGTCTCAGTCACAGTGTAGTGGCTGACGCAGCAGCCACAGGGGCAGAAAACACTGCTCGGAATGCTGCCCCGCAGGGTCGGGCAAGTCCCTTCACGTCTCAGAGCCTGAGCTTCTGGCCGCGTGTCGTGGAGATGGAACACCTGCCACCTGGTCCTCGCAAGGCCCAGACAAGGTGCGCGCGTGCCGGTGCTCGGTCGCGAGGCCCAGACAAGGTGCGCGCGTGACGGTGCTCGGTGAGCTGTCACAGTGGTGACCGCATGCGCACTCCTGGTGCCACCCTTAGGACCTCCGCCTGTGGAGCCTCAGTACCCAAGTCAGCCGCTGATTCACCTGACCCCTGCTCTGCGCTGGGCAGACGTGCCTCACGCCCAGTCCCTGGCCTCTGGAGGTCTCAGCCTAGCGGGGCAGCGGACGGTTCCCTCCTCTGTGCAACCAACAGTCTGGGATCGACTCCTTTGGTGCTGGGTGGCCGTGAGAGAGGAGCTGGAGATGAACCCGGCACCGACCCAGGCCTCAGGGGTTAGTGGTTTATCCCTCGGCTCACCCCCAGCGCTCAGCCCACCTGCCCCGAGCAGTGTGGCTGCCATGGCTCAGCCTCGCGCCTTTGTCACGACTCAGGAGGCCCCTCCCGAGCTCTCCTGGCGCCGGCACCCCCGGCTCCCCCAGGCCCTGGGCTTGCATCTGGGCGGTGGTCTCCCCCAGTGACTACTCGCTCTCCGGGTGACCCCAGTGCCCAGCACCCAGTGCAGGAGCGGCACGGCGAGGGGCCTGATTTCTGCTGAACCAGCAGATGAAAGAACAGGACTCTGGAGGCCCCATGAAGAATGAGAGGATGCGAGGTGACCGAGCCCCCGTCCCCTGCCGGGCCTGGTGGGGGACAGTGTCGGAGATGAACCCGACAGCACAGGGGACCATGAGTCTACCGGCAGCAGCCACAGTCACGGGCACTGGAAGGTGACGCTGAGGTGGAAGTGGGCTGGACTGAAGGGCGAGAGGGTGGGAGGGAGCTCAGGCCTCGGAGACCGTCTGCAAACAGCACGACACGCTGACCACAGGGCGCCAAGGTGAGCCGCCTGTGGTGAGACGCGGGTCCAGAGGCCCGAGGGCCACACTCAGCTCCTGACAAGCTGTGGGGCTTTGGGCAGAGGGTCTTCCACCTGCAGCTCGTCGACCGCGCAGGTTTCTGGCCCCGCCCCCAGAGGCTCTGAGCGGTGGCCCAGGTGTGGGCGCAGCGACCTGCAGAGACCCCGCGAGCCCAGGGTCTGCCCTGCCCCTTGACGTGGCACCACCCTGGTGGCGGGAGTAGCCCGAGTCCCCTGCCGAGATCTGTCAGGCCTCAGTCGGGGCTGG